AAGTTCCTTCAGAAAGACTTGATGGAATTCTTGCAGAAGAGGCTGGATTTCTGGGGTATGCTGTTTTTGTACCTTGTTCTCGACTAGTAGTAACAAAACTAAGCCATGCTACTCGATTTTGAGGGCCTGAGTAAAGAGGTAGGGTGGTTTGGTCTTGGACGCCAATTGCGGAAGCTCATCTTATTGAGTAGGTGGCTTCTTGTCTTGTTTGTCATTGTAAGGTGTGAGTACCAATGTTAAGCCACTGTTTTGAAAAGAATAGGTGTTGTGAAACCCATTATGGATTGTTTTTCGGTCGAGTTTCCATGGTCGTCCTACCAGTAGGTGGCATGCATCCATAGGCACCACGTCACATAGAACTTGTTCTTGAAAATCTTTGCCCATAGAGAACCGAACCAAGCACTGGCGGTTGACCTCAATTTCATTGCCTTTCTTTAACCATGCGACCTTATAAGGTTGAGGATGTGGTTGTGTGGCCAATTGTAATTTTTCATCATTAAAGAGGAGACCACATTTTCACAGCTACCACTGTCTATGATAAGATTACAAACTTTGCCTTGGATGGTGCATCTGGTCCTGAAATGTTATGCCTCAACCATTTATGGTCAGGTTCGTATTGAGTATTTAGCAGTCGTCTGATGACTAGAAGTTCTCCTTCATCAGTCGCTATAACTTGCTCCATCTCTTGTGATTGGGTTGCATCTCCTTCATCGGAATCTTCATCCATCTGCATTTCTTCCATCAGGGTGACGAATCGCCTCGTAGGGCAATTAGCCGCCATGTGACCAAATCCATGGCACTTGAAACATCTTCTTGCCGGAAAATAGTTGGTGAGCAGGTTGTTTGTGGCCAGCTGAGGACAGGCCAAGCTAGTGCCCACGTTTGGTGGGTACGGTGTCACATTTCTTCTCTCCGGTACCTTACTGCTCGTGGGGTGTGTTCCGGTCAGCTGCTCTCCAGTGGGCATTCGTCGTTTTCCTTGCTTCAATTGTTTCTCTACCTTCAAAGAAATGTTAATGACATCGGATAATGTCCAATATGGTTGGAGGTGGACAATGTTGGAGATGGACGAATTGAGTCCACCCAAGAATCTCGCAATGGTGTTTTCTTCCGGTTCCTCCAATTGGCATTTGAGACCCAATTGTTCAAATTTAGCAGCATATTCTTCTACTGAAAGTTTGTGCTGTTGTAGATTGTGTAGACGGAGAAATATATCTTGGCAATAGTGTATGGGTAAGAACTTTTGAATTCTTTGGTCATCTTTGCCCACGTGGTGATTCTTGATTTACCTTCTCTCTGACGAGATCGCTTAAGATTTTCCCACTATAGCGAAGCATTTCCTTTGAGTTTGATGGCGACAAGTTTGGCAATGTGTTCTTGCGAGATTTCTTTATAATCAAGAATTCGTTCAATGGTGTGTAACCAATTGATGAATTCGTCTGGATACAACCGTCCTTTGAATTATGGAAGATCAAGTCGTATGTCGTAATCATGCGCATGTCTTCTTGGTTCCCGCTGAAGATATCTCAACGGGACGTCATCTTCTCTGCTTGAACCCTCATGATGGAAAGGGTTCTCATCAACTTCTTCCGGATGCGGTTCTTCAGTTTCTTGTGGCATTTCTCCTTGTTGACTGACCTCCATCGCAGCCAACCTATCTTGTAATCTTTTGATTTCCCTTCGTAGTTCTTCAATTGTTTATTCTTAGGTGTTTCTTGAAATCCCTTTTCTTGGCGGCATGGTTTCTGGTAAACTGGAATGGACAATCTGCTGAAGAGAGGGACAGTCGGGTCTCTACAGCAACCGGAAATCTTAACACAGGAAAATCTGGGGATGAGATGTACCACCAACTCTCCACAGCCACCTGAAATCAAAAATAGCAACAGGAGAAGAAATTCTAGGAAGAATTCTTGAACAGGATTGCTCTGATACCAATTGACACCGGTATGGATTAAATAGGTGTCAAACGATTTACAGAGATAGAGAAAGATCAATTCAAGACACAAACAGACAGATTATAGAAAAGAAAACAAAAAGGAACTTAGCTTTATTAATGCGGCAGATTCACCCCCTAGTTTGCCACGCCAGGTTACAGCCCTCCATCCAAAGTAAAATGCAGAATTTCTGCTTACAGACTCTCTACCCTCCCTCTAAGACATGGACTCTATATATAGACATTATTAAGATAACTAACACTAGACCCAGCAGCAAGAAAGCCTGAACCGAACCGAACCAGCAGCAAGTAATAGAACCGGAAGCCTGTTAATGGCCGGTATGGGTTCTTTATGAATACATGATTTATTTCATGTTTAGATAGCAGCAGCTCCTGCGTCATGTTATGTCTGTTACAATGACGATATATGAGATGTTAAGTGTAATTGATACAGACAAGCTTTGTCTCCACCTTATATATGATATGCGGGATTTTATGATTGAAAAGTTGAAGACAATAGGAATCATGAAGGGAATAATTGAAAAGTTGAAGACAATTGGAATCATGAAGGAAGTGCATAATGGGGACTCCACTTTTGTGTCGTTTTCAAGCGAAGATGGAAAAAAAGCAACACTCCATTGCTTAACCAACTCCCTTAATCCAAGATAACCTTTAATTAATCTTATGTTATTAATTGTTAGTTATTAATAATCAAAGTTTTAATTATTATTTGCATTCGATTCTTTGGTACTAAAGCCATGCTTGTCTAATGAATCTCCAAATCTTGTTGCTTTACATAAAGACTTGAAGATATCAATTGACATAAACAAATGCTTGAAATGCTTTTTGAAAAAATTAATGATAAAGTGATGTAGAATTTGGAGTTTGCTAACTATGTTGGACTTATTGGCGCTTTTTCCAATCATAACCCAATTGCTTAGAGAGGCATCATGAATGTAAATGCTTGGTAAATGATTTATGGTGCTAGTTCCCCATGACTATAATGTTTGATTCTAAAATTTTTAACTCAATCATGTTCTTCATCTGGTTGCAAAAGAAATTAAAATATATATTATTTAATCAATTCAATTGAGAGAAACAAGATCACTCCTTAAAGAGATGATGATTCAATATTTGTAAATATTCACCTGTCTATCTAAGAGGAGCCCAAAATATACTCAAAGAGAGACAAGTTATTAGATATTAGTGAAGATAACATTAACGACAATGTATGCATTGGAATGTTTGATGTTTCTAATCTCTCTCTTGATGGGCCAACTTTGGGCATCTTTTTTTCTTGATGAAAGTGAAAGTACTATTGAAGAGGGCACATGTGGTACTGGCGATGATGATCATGATGCTGGTTGTGTTAGCTTCAATTAATGACATATCATCAATATGTTTGTTTGATTATTTTGAAGCCAACATCAATGCAACTTTTGTATGGATTTTTGACATTTTGTCAACAATATTGATATTGAAAAAATATGTATGATGATTAATGGTTGTTAATGTTGGTCTATCGTTACAAATTACAACTAGTGTAATTGATAAAGTTTTGAAATTTTATTGTGATTAGCAATATTTATTTTTCATTTGTTATTGTTCAGTTTTTTATGAAAATTATTTGATACTATACTTTATTATGGACCGGTATGTTTGCCATAGAAAGTACTTGCATTTAGTGTTTTAGTTAAAAAATGTTATATTAATAGAAAATAAAATAGAATATTGTGTTCATGACGTGTTGTATCATACTTTTCATAATTACATCATGCAGTCATGCTGTGTCTCATGTTGGCATTTATGCTTCGAAGGGAACTAGCCATTATAACCCACACAAGATTTGCTTCAACTAAAGAATTCAAATTTAACTCTTTTAACAACCTATTTTGAAAGTCCAACAATTCCATCTTTCAAATTCTATCACCTATTTTAGGATAATTATTTTTCTTGATTGTTTTACTTTATGTTGTTTGGTTAATCTTTCTCTTGGAATCACCTCACAACCTTTGCAAAAATATTTTCATTCATTTCAAACAAAAATAAGTTTTTGATTTTGTGACTCCACTTTCTAAGCAATTGAATATTTCTCTTATTTGTTGATGTATTTGATATTGTAAGATTATAGGTTACTTTAAAATCAAGCATAGCTTCTTCCATTGCATTTCTATCTTTTTATTTCATGCTCATCCTACTAGAATCTATTCGTATGTTTAATCCTTCTCTCAGAGCTCAACCTACTAGAATCTATTTTGTATATTTAAGTTGCCTCCAATAAATATCATTTCTTCTAAGTATACATTGCAAGAATTTGTTCATCTCTTAGAAATATTGATTTTTATGCTATATTCTAACCATGTTGAGGGGCTTAAGCATTACATATCCTTAAACTGTTTATCCATTAATATCTCAACTCCATTCTTATTGTTAATTTTTCTAACATACAATAACTTATAAACTTCCCCAAGGCCTTTGAATTTCCCCCTTTTTCATTTAGTTTCTTTTAAAGAAGGAATATTTTTTCTACTAATCATTATGTTACCAATTCTCTTCTTTTCACTTTAATTCCTAAAATTTCGTGTAATAAATATAATCTTAGTTATTATCTTAGTCTTAGAATTAGAAACCTTATGGGTATTAGATTTGCCAAACTTTGCTTGCTTTTCAGCACAATATGGTTATGTTATGGCATGTCACTTAAAAATGACATCCTAACAAACCATTTCCTACTTGTCACTATGATTGGGTGAACTCGTGGTGTATCACTTTTGCGAAGCACTTTAGGCATTATAAAATTCAAAATTAAATTCATTTGTTAGTGTTGACTTAAATTTTATGATTGTTTGTTGGATTAGTTCTTAAAGTTTCTCATTAAAACTTCGGATCAAGAAGGATGTTTTTTTTCTTCTTCATTATGTTAGATTATATGATGCTTTATAATTTTTGTTGCCATTTTTGCTTATATCTATACCATTCACATAGGAATTTGTATCCACTTTTTTCTATTACATGTAGTTTTTACCATGTTTTTTATCATACATTAATGTGGTTAACCTAATTATAGGTGTGCGCATCGTACTTTTTATTCTACTCCTGGATCAATTGGATAGAATCAAAGATGGATCACCATTTTGGCTTAGGGAGTTGGATGATGGTTCCAACACAAAACACAATTCCTCATGATCATAGCTCCCTCCAAGCTCAATATTACCAACAACAACAACAGCAGCAACAACATCTTTTGCCCCAACAACTTCAACAGCAACATCAAGAACATCAAGACCACAATCACCATCAGTCACTGGCTTCTCATTTCCATCTTCTTCATGTATGTTTTCTTTTCCGAGCAATATAGATGTCAAGCTTTATGCAAATTATAAGATATTCATCTAATTTCATGTTGTTGGTTGTCCTTGAAACTGATTTAAATTTTAGGTTATTTTTGGATTTGTTTTATATTTAAATATTAAGAAACTCTTAATTAAATCAACTTAATTCTTAATAGACTAATTAATAGTTCATTAATTATTCTAACTAATAATTAATAAAATTATAGGCCAAACTATTATGATTGAACAATAATAAAGATCGATTATCTTAATTAATGCTTTAATAAATCTCTAATTATTCTTGATCAATAGCTAATAAGATTTTTAATTAATTATTAAATCTCAATTATAGGTGGAAATGCTTTTTTTTTTCATAGCACGAAAGAAGTTTTGTAAATCTAGTAATGCTAGGAATCCTTTAGAGGTGGTACTGACCTATTATAGAGGCTGATAAAATTTGTGCTGTTAGATATTATAAGCTTTATACTCTATTATCTGCACCCATTTTGAGAATAGAAGTATAAAAGATTGACATCAAATTGGTACATCTAATTTGCTGTTACTTTCTTAAAAGAAATTCATTATATATAAAGTGATATCTATATTTAATATGTTTTATATATTTAGGATCAATATGGAATCCATATATTCTTTATTGGTTTTGAAGTGCAAAAGGATATTTAAAATCAGATGCCAATATGAATGCTTTTCAAAATTGGCATATGTGACTCTTGATTAAATAAGTAAAAAACTAGTGGCTTAGAGCAATAGATGAAATGTTTAAATACGATGAACTGCTAAGGATTTGTAGTGGATGCAGTTTTAACAAATATTATTCGATATTGTTGGAAGATAAATTGATACTTAGGTGTGGTAGGTTGAGTATCTTAGATCTGTCATACATAATAGTGTAAGATTGGATAAGGTTTTAACTTCTATAGCTAAGGTTCGGTGGCTAAAATGGAGAAATTCCTCAGAAGTGGAGTTTTTTGTGATAAACATGCTAGCCAAGTTAGTGTGGCGATAAGGAAATTATTAAGATGAATTTGTGGTAAAATTAGGAAGAATTAAATTAAAAATGAATAAGAAATAATGTTAATATAGATGATGGGAGCACATGTTGAATATAAGTGTGAAAACTAAACTCTGGGTGATTTGGGCATGAACATGGAGAATCAAAGAAGTACCACTAAGATTAGCATGTATAACTAATTTGGAAGCGATGGGAGGATTATGATGATAAATGAGTAGTTGCAGGGTAACATTGCTGCAAGTTACGATGGAATTACAATTAGCGTTTAGATAAGGCTAACTTCAACTAGTTAAGATCAGACTAATGAATAATTCTTATAGTAGATTTTGGTAATAACTTCTATATAAATGATCCTGCAGTGTTCTTTTGTAACGGCCTTGTTGTTTATTTTTTTTTGTATTTTGTACATGTTTGATGAGTAGAGTTTATGCTCCTAGGAGCAAATACTCTGAGGTTTGAAAATTGTTGTGCATATGCATTCATATTGAAAATCTGACAAATTGATCACAATTAAAAGTTGTTTTTATGTCTATTAAGTTCTTGGAAAATCAAAATCGTAATTAGTTTTTAACATTCACATGATTTACGATTAAATGTTCTTTGAATAGGTATTATCTGTGCATGTATTGATTTTATGGGCATTAGCATTTTCTTTGAAACTTTTTCGTTACTGATCTCAAAGATACAAGCAGTTTTTCTTTAAAATTTACATTTTTTCTATACTAGTAATTCATGTAATTAAAGTTAATTATTCTGTGATGGAGCTGATCTTTTATTTTACAGTTAGATTTACTGGGTTCGTGAGATTTTCTTTGTTTATACATCTATAGCTTCATTTGGGACAACTTTTGGCCACCGCTTTTTTATTGTTTTCAAAAAAATTTACAATTGAAAGTTGTTCTAGAAAACAGTAAGAAAATGACCTCAAACGAAACCTAAATTTATCAGCTTCACGTGCGCATATTATCCCAAGTAGTTATGGTCTGATTTTAGACTTCTTTTACCATCCTAGTGGGAGCTTTTCTTTTTTTTGTTCTGGTAGTGGTGTTAAAGCTTAGGGTTTAGGGAATGGAGAAAAAGGATTCATGTAGCCGACCCCACGTAGTGGGATAAAGGCTTGATGTTGTTGTTAGTGGTGTTAAAGCTATTGAAACAACTTCTAATTGTGAAAGGTTTTTCTTACATCTTTTTTTTTTTTTTGAAGAAAATGCATAAAATTGCATTAATAAGGAAAAAAAAGGAACAAACTAAGGACTCACCATACTAGATTCTTCCTTTAGTATAGACATAAAGAGAGGAGGAATCTTATCCATGGTAACATCTTCCCAAATAAAATAACTCATAATCTCATAGTTAACACATAAATCTGCTAACTTATTACATTTTCTATCAACAAAATTAAAAACATATTGAAGAAACCCTTCAAAAGGTTGAATGTTACCATATTTTGAGGATTGTTTTGAATTTTGCAAGAACCTCATCACCTTAGCATTGTCTCCTTCAATAATAATGCCTAATAATGCCCTTATATTTGAACATCCAATCCTTGATCACTTCCTTTATTGAATGAGTAGCAGGAAGCTCCATAGTAGAAATATCCCAACGAACATACGGTTTGCCAAAGGCCAATAGAAATCAATGTTTAAAATTGCGTGTTCGGGTATTGAGGCGTTTTTGATTCGTGAGGCGAGACGTAAGCCTCAAAATCAAAAAATTGCGTAAACATAAAATGATAAATTTGTTATATACTAATGAGTGAATAATATAAAACATAAAAGCATAAGATATGAAGTGAAATCAAAATATCTCAATAATAAGACAACATGAAATATAGTTCAACTCAAAATTCTATCTTTCCGAAATCCCAGTATTCTTTTCATTAACATATAATTCCGATTTTCAAAAAAAAAAATTGCAATGACATATCACATAAGAATTAAGAACTCATAAGTCATCAGCACTGTCATCACTAAGGGGTTCTTCATTAGAATCATCATTATGGTGAATTGCTCTCTCCCCTTCCTCCTCTCCTATAGAGTCCAATGTCGGGTTACTTTAAGATTTATGTAAGTTTTAATATAAATAGCGTGAGGCGAGGCGGGCCTCAACCAAGTTGAGGCGCGAGGCTCATAAAAAAAACTCGAGGCGTAAGCATCGAGGCATTTTTTACTGGAATTGCGCAAAGGCGGGCCTCAAGGCGAGCCTCAAATTACGCAATTTTAAACCATGATAGAAATCTACCTTAGTGATCACGAACGACACCTCCAATTCTAGCTTTATAAGAAGGTAGAAGAGATGCATCCACATTGACCTTAAGCCAATCGGGTGGAGGGGGATACCAATGGATATTGGACAGCCTTGACGGCTGGTTGGCATCCCATTTACCCAAGAAATTAATAGAGCTTTGAGCCATAGTTGATGAATAGCTCACTACATTAGCACCAGTACTCATGGAATTGTCTTCTTTACCATTATAAATCAAATTGTTCCTAGATTTCCAAGTAAAGAAAACCACATTGCAATAAAGATTGACCATGAATGAGCATTGATTAGACAACTAGTTACTGTATTCCAATAATGAATCAAAAGCAGGAATATGAAAGCACCACTTTTCAATTTGAAGAAAAACTTCCTTCAGTTTTTTGCATCTAGCCGCAACATGATTTAAGTCTTCATCTTCTAAACATTCTCTTGGAAAAAGACAACAATTATGCAATCTTCTATAAACCAGCAATTTCTTAGTAAGAATGGCGGCATTGAAAATCCTCCACCAAAAAGTCTCCACCCTTGGATTCAACTTTGCTTTCTTAATCCAGCTCCAAAATTTTTTGCTGCCCGTTAGATTAACTGTTTTTTCAACTATCATAGCATAAATTGATTTGCCACTCAATTGATGCATTAACTCCCTCTTGTCTTCCAATGAATCAGTGTTAATCTTAATTTGAGAAATTAAGTTAATGAGATCAGAACCCCATGAGGTTTCTAATAGCTTCCTCATTCCATCTACCATCAATGATGAAATTTGAAACCGAAAAACTGTTATCATCAAATGGAATAACAAAAGTTGGCCATTTGTTTAAACTCTCGTCTAAGATCCATGCGTCATTGAAAACATCAATGTTAACCCCATTGACAACATTCCATCTAAGGAACGGTTTAAGAGATCTACCTCCATCAGATAAGATCTTCCATGAGGAAGATCCCGTCCTCCTTGACATTCTTCCATCCAGAATATTTCCATATTTCGGAAATAGAATTTTGTGAAGCAATGAGTCTGTCTTCCATGTATCTCCAAGCCAATTTTGCTCTCAAGGGTCCAGCAATACTAGAGTAAGAGTGAAGCCATCTTCCTCCACAAGCCATTGGTAAACACATTAATTTCCAATTGACATAATGAATACCATTTCTACTATTAGATTTATTCCAGATAAAATTTCAGCAAATTTTATCAATTTCATCAAGCACACTCTTAGGAACTAAAGAGTTAGTACAATGAAATATGATGTATGATAAAAGAATTGATTTAGTCAACAAGATCCTCCCTGCCAATGAAATAAGCCTTCCTCCCCAAATGTTTGTAATCTTCAATACTTTGTCAATGATAAATTGGAAATCTTCTTTAGCTAGTCTTCTAGTGGCTAATTTTATTCCAAGATAAGTTAATTCTTTAGAAATCTTGAATCCCATGATTCGAGCAATTGATTTCTTCAACCTTCTATTAACCATCTTACCAAAAATCTTGCTAGATTTGTTGGAGTTGATGCAAAGACCTGACCATCCACAAAATTTCTGCAAAACAGATTTTACTTCCTTAACCATCTTAACTTTTGTTTCTGAGAAGATGATCACATCATCCGCATACAATAGATGAGAAAGTCTTGGACCCATAGAGCACAACCAAATTCCAATATTGTTTATTGCATCTACTTGATGATTGAATTACACACCAAAGAATTGAATGCATGA